AGAGAAAGAGAGAGAGCAGGAGAGACACTGAGTGAGAGAGAGGGAGGGAGAAAGAGATAACAATTAAACTAAAATACTGAAATAAAAGGTCTAATATGTAGGCTATTCCGACCTGCGTCATAAAGTGTAACACCTATTTGACACAGAGAGATAGAGAGAGAGAAAGAAGAAAGAGAGAGAAAGAGGGGGAGGAAGGGAGGGAGAGAGACTTATATATAGAAGTTACAATTAAATTCAAATACTGAAATAAAAGCTCTAATAGATTATGTAATTATGTATTATAAGTGTACGGCCTTTTTGAGAGAGAAAGAGAGAGAGACAGAAAGAGAGGGCAAAAAAAGAGAAGAGAAAGAAGAGATGGGTGGAGAGAGATTATAATTAAACTCAAATAAATATACGTTTTAAAAGAGTATTCTAATATGTAGGCTATTCTGCGTTATAAAGTATCAGGCCTATTTGGGAGAGAGGCAGAGAGAGAAAAAGCAATAAAGAGAAGGAGAGAGGAGAGAGAGAAGGGGGGGGAAGAGAGTGAGAGAGAGAAACTTATGGCTTAACAAACTCAAGTAAAACTTAAAGGTCTAATATGCAGAGAGAGAGAGAAAGACTTTTATATAGGCTGTGTATTCTGTGTGATAAAGAGGAAGGCCTATTTGAGAGAGAGTGAGTGCAAAACAAGAGAAAGAGAGGATAGAAAGAAGAGAAAGAGAGAGAGTGAGAAACAGAGAGTGAGACAGACAGAAAAAGAGAAGGACAGACTTATATGTAGTGTATTTATTCTGTGTGACAGTGTAATAGAAGTGTGCGGCCTATTTGAGAAACAGAGAGAGTGAGTGCAAAAAAGGAAAAGAAGAGAGGAGAGAATGAGAGAGAAAGAAAGTGAGAGAGAAACAGAGAGAGAAAGAGAGAGACTTAAATATAGTCTATGTATGTGACAAGTGTAAGGCCTATTTGGGAGACAGTAAGTGCAAAAAAGAGAAAGAGAGGAGAAAGAGAGGAGAAATAGAGAGAGAAAGACATATTATATAGGTTCTGTATTCTGTGTGATAAAGTGTAAGGCCTATTTGAGAGAGAGCAAAAAGGTGAAAGAGAGAGAAGAGAGTAAGAGAGAAAGAGAGTAAGAGAGTGAGAGAGAGAGAGACTTGTATACAGGCCTAACAAACTCAGACACTAATACAGATCTAATGTAGACTGTGTGTTCTGTGTGATAAAAGTGTAAGACCTGTTTCTATTTGAGAGACAGAGAGAGAAAGAGAGAGAGAGAGAAGAGAGAGAGAGAGAGAGAGAGAGAGAGAGAGATAATCATATATAGTCTATGTATTCTGTGTGACAAGTGTAAGACCTGTTTAGAAAACAGAGAGGGCAAAAAAGAGAAGGATGGACTAGAGAGTGAGAGAGAGAGAGAGAGAGAGAAAGAAGAGAGAGAAAGAAAGAAAGAAAGAAAAAAAGAAGAAAAAGAAAAAAGAGACGTGTAATATATAGATTATGTATTCTGCGTTATAAAGTGTTAGGCCTATTTGAGATAGAGAGAGAGAACAAAAACAAGAGAGAGAGAACAAAAACAAGAGAAAGAGAACAAAAACAAGAGAAAGAGAGAGAGAGAGAGAGAGAGAGAGGTAGGAGACAAAGAAGAAAAAGAGAGGAGAGAGTGGAAACGAGAGAGACATATATATTCTCTGTGAAAAAGTGTAAAGCCTATTGAGAGATAGAGAGAGTGAGTGCAAAACGAGAGAAAAAGAGGAGAGAGAGAGAGAGAGAGAGAGAAACATATATAGGGTATGTATTCTGCGTTATAAAGTCTAAGGCCTATTTGGGATAGAGAGATAGTGCACAAAGAAAGAGAGAGATAGAAAGGAGTGAAAGAGAGACTTATTATGTAGTCTATATATTCTGTGTGATAAAGTGTAAAGCCTATTTGAGAGACAGAGAGAGCACAACAAGAGAAAGAGAGGATAGAGAGAAAGAAGAGAAAGAAAGAGGAGAGAGTGAGAGCGAAAGTGAGAGAGTGAGAGAGAACGAGAGAGAGAGAGTGAGAAAGAGAGACTTATAGTCTATGCATTCTGTGTGACAGTGTAATAGAGGCATGCGGCCTATTTGGGAAGCAGAGAGAGAGAGCAAAAAAGAGAAAGAAGAGAGGCGAGAGAGAAAGAGAGAAAGCGAGAGAGAGAATGAGAGTAAGAGAGAGACTTGTATACAGGCCTAACAAACTCAAACACAAAAACAAAAGATCTGTATAGTCTGTGTGTTCTGTGTGATTAAAGTGTAAAACCTGTTTCTATTTGAGAGACAGAGTGCAAAAAAGAAAAGAGAAGGAGAGGAGAGATTGAGAGAGAAAAGGAATGAGAGAGAGAGCAAGAGAGAGAGAGGGGTTACGTATTCTGCATGATAAAGTGTAAAGTGTAAGGCCTATTTGAGATACAGACATAGTACAAAAAAGAGAAAGAGAGAAGAGAGAGAGGAGAGAAAGAAGAGAAAGAGAGAGGAGAGTGGGAAAGAAAGTAAGAGAGAGAGAGTGAAACTTATATATAGTCTGTGTGATAAGTGTAAGGCCTGTTTGGGAGACAGAGAGGGAGAAAGAGAGAGTGAGTGCAAAAAAAGTGAAACAGAGGATAGAGAGAAAGAACAGAAAGAAAGAGGAGAGAGTGAGAGAGAAAGAGAGAGAGAGACTTACATTTAGTCTAGGTATTGTGATAGTGTAACAGCAGTGTGCGGCCTATTTGGGAAACAGAGAGAGTGAGCACAAAAAAGAGAAAGAAGAGAAGAGAGAGTGAGAGAGAAAGAGTGAGAGAGACAGATAAACAGAGAGAGACAGAGAGAGAGAGACTTACATTTAGCCTATGTATTGTGACAGAGTAACAGAAGTGTGCGGCCTATTTGGAAAACAGAGAGAGTGAGCGCAAAAAAACAAGAAGACAGAGCGAAAGAAAAGAGAGAAAAAGAGAGGGATGGAAGGGGGGGAAGGTCTGAGCAGAGGAGTGCGCTCACCACCTGTTGCACACCGCCCCACGCACGCACGCACGCCAGATAGAAGCCAGGGATACGCCTCAGGGCACCCATTTCACAACAATGTTATTCAATCGCTCTGGGTTATACCAACAGATAAGATTAGCACGAGGATGTGAGGGAAAGCTTCAATATTTATTCAATGGCAAATTTTTTCTGGTAAATTTTCCACTATTTTCACTTTTGGTTCGCAATTCAAGTCGGAAACACTACCAAAAACTGTACCAAAAAACACGTGTTATTACAATATTTATTCACTATTCCCTTGTTGTCGTGGCGTACTTTGTGAAATCTTGCCTGGCTCTTGTGTTTGTTTTTTCTTGACATACACCCGGCAAGCTTTCGCATTTTTTTCAAGCTGGATCTTAGGTTCTGAAAAAACTTAGAGAAAAACTTATTTGAGTTCTCTACAAGTATCCATAGTGGTGGTGACTCGAAATTACACCGACTCCAATTCTCTGTTTAAAAAAAGATCTGAAAAAGTGCTTGTATTTTTGTTGCCAACTTCCACAGATATTATCAGGAAACATCAAGTGGATTTGATGAATGAGGGTGGAGAAATATTTGGTTTGCTGTCAAAAAAATAAAATAAAACACGTTTGGAAACATCAGTATATGCAAAAACTTAACTGCAATCCAAGCCTGGTCTTTTTATCTGTTTTTTCCAAATGAACCAAGCGTGTCCCTCAGCAGACAGCAGCAGTGAATGGGACACCAATTCCCAAAGGAGCAGGCTTAAAAAAAAAAAAAAAAAAAACACTGGCAACGGAGCGATTATAGCCAATTCAACGTCTGTAGCGGATCAATAATTAATAGGACAAACTGCCTCCCCTGACCCCGGGCCGGTCCGACACAGCGAGCCGCGTTTGGAGAGGAGAAGAGGAGAGAGGAGGAGAGGAGGAGAGCGCGCGGATAAGTACCGAAGGGCCTTTTCAAATATTCATCCGCTGGTTAACGTGAGCCCCTGTCCCCGGGGACGACACCAGGGCCCCGCGAGGCTCAACGGTCCTAATCTCGCGCGCAACACACATCCAACACATCCACACATCCATCCACACACCCGCGCCAGGACGCACGGTTGGCACATTTCAAAACGTAAACCCCGCGCGCAATTGGATCATCAAAGGGATTGTTTTTTTTTTTTTTTTTTTTTTTTTAAATCGCGGAGAGTGAGAAGGGAAAGTGGCGCAAGGCGAGGTTGTAATTGTGATGGTTTAGCTCAAAGGAGACTAAGGAAATTATTTTTGAGATCTTAGCGTTCAAACGTGTGGGGGGGAAAGACATTATAATAAAAGCGAGCGATGTAAGCAAGAAGTGCGCGTAAAATGTGCAAATGAAAAACGCGTCGTGTATCAACATACGTATATCAAGAGCTGCTGTCAGACTTCAAAAAAAAAAAAAAAAAAAAAACGTGACATAAAACGAGCTGTAGCCGCGGAATAAATTGCGCGATCTGTCACATGTGCGTAAGAAGCGTGAATTGGCTCAATTATGAAAAACGGCTAATGTATAATTTGGTGACACTGTCAAAAGCAAAGTCTGACATGAGAAAATGATGGGAAAAAATGAAAAATAAAATTGAAATCTATGATGCTGTGAGAAAAAACAGACCACATGTATTCAAGATTTTGCTACCTGTAACCACTGGACGCAAGTTTAATTTCTTTCTCTCTTCGTCGCTTTTTCCACGTTTTTGAGCTTGCCTTAAACGCAGCTTCTAAAAAAATAAGAATTCCTAGTGAAAAAAATCTTCAAAACTAGTCTAAACATTTGTGGAGCTGAGTTGCAAAAACACAGTCCATTAGAAGCCCCCGGTGTTGAAAGATGAAGTGATGCGTAAAAGGCGCACACAAGGTCCCCAAACTCCAAAACACAGCTCCAAATCAAAACGCACAGAATTCCTTGTATCCAAATTTCCAAAATTTATTCATTTCAAACTGCATATTGAAAAAAAATATACTCAGCTGAAAGTGTAACTGTTATAAGGATGGTATTAGTCCGGTATATTTACATGAAGCGGTTGGTAACAGGCCAACATCAAATTTCAAATACAACTACGTGGGGGTGTGGATTTGGAAATTAAAATATTACAGAGAATATACAGAAAATTGTACAAATCAATTAGAAAATAAAGAGACTCCAACAAGCGTCTAACATATGAAAAGTGGGAGACGGAAATATAAATTAACAACCTATTATTATTATTATTATTTATTATTATTATTATGAGTTTAATTCAAAAGTTTAGTAGGAAAAACAACCCCAAATGAAACAGTGCTCGGTCCCTTACGTCCCTTTACGTCCCAGTGTTTGCATTTATTTGAACTGGCCTTTGCTTTAATATAAAAACAAACCAAAAAAAAATAAACAACGAAAGATTCAAACCTCTTGCAAACATTTTTGATTGTAATGTTTTGTCTTTGATAAATACTGTACAAAAGGTGATTGCAATAATAAACCCACTTTTTGTTCTTCCAGGCGGTTCAAGACTCCTCGCCCTTTTTATACAACAGTTCGCTCTCTGTACAAAAATAGTCCCGTGAGAGGTCCATATTTCTCTATAGAGTCTACATGTGTGTGAGGGGCAGAGTTCCGTTGATCGTCGTCCCCGGTACCGCGCTCTGATAGTGCCCGGACATGTGTAACCTGCTCTGGGCGCTGGTATCGTTCACGTCCGCGCCCGGGAGGTACATGCTGATCATGTCCCGCAGGTCCCCGCTCTGGCAGCCGGTCTGCGCCGCGGGCCGGTGGGACGAGGAGGTGACTACGGGCGGGCTGGAGCTACTGGACTCGGACTTCACCCCGCCTCCGGACGCGGGGCCCATGCTCCCCAGCGCCGTCATGGTGGGCTGCTGCGTGTACGACATGGAGTAGGTCGGGGAGCCGTTCATGTAGCTCTGCGTACTCGTCATGGAGTTGTACTGGAGCGCGTTGATGTCGTAGCGGTGCATGGGCTGCATTTGGCTCGCGTTGTGGTGGTAGCTTAACTGCTCCTGCATCATCCCGTAGCCGCCGTTGGTCCAGCCGTTCATGTGGGCCGCGTAACTGTCCATGCGCTGGTTCACGTTGCCAACTCCCACTCCTCCGACCCCCGAGCCCACTCCCATGCCGTTCCCCCCGGGCGCCAGCAGTCCCCCCGGCAGCGTGTACTTGTCCTTCTTCATCAGAGTCTTGGTTTTTCTCCTGGGCCGGTACTTGTAGTCCGGGTGTTCCTTCATGTGGAGCGCGCGGAGCCGCTTGGCCTCGTCGATAAACGGCCTTTTCTCGCTCTCGGATAGCAGCTTCCACTCGGCCCCCAGTCTCTTGCTGATCTCAGAGTTGTGCATTTTGGGGTTCTCCTGCGCCATCTTCCGCCGCTGACCCCGGGACCAGACCATAAACGCGTTCATGGGCCTCTTCACTCGCTCCGGGCTGTTCTTTTGGTTGTTCCCCGAGGAAGAGTTGTTGTTGCCCCCCGTGTTGGTCTGGGGCGCCGGGGGCTTCAGCTCGGTTTCCATCATGTTATACATTTTTAGTCCGGGTTAAAAAAAAACAAGCGGTAAACTAGTCCAAAAACACAAGAAGAACGCGCTTCGGGAGACGTCTTAAAAAAAAGTTACCTGGCGTTTAGTTTTTTTCCCCGTGTAACTTTGTCTCTCTCCCGGTGCCAAAGCGAGTCTCCACGCTCAGTCCTGCGCGCCTGTCGTCTCTTCTCTCTCCCAACAGCTCCGCGCTTCTCTGCCTACATCCACAAAAATGTCCTCTTTCCTTTTCGCCGTTTGTCTCTCTTCAACTCCGCGGCGGAAAAAGAGGAAAAAAAAAACAGATCGACAACTTTTGCGCTCCTAGCTGCCGCAACACCCGAGTCTTGACAAACTCCAGATAGTTTTTGAAACAAGTTAATAGACAACCATTCATGTGACGGGGGCTGACAGCGAATAAATGGCTAGGACCTGGCCAATCGCGTGCGCCCTGCTCCCCTGACACGCCAATGGGAGGCCGTAATTTGCATATGGGGGCGTGGCGTGCCTCGGCTGCCCTGGGGGACGCTGGCTTCATGTGTGAGCGAAAGCAGAGTGCAGCGCTCCGGGAGGTTGGTGGATACTTGTGTGTGGATACTTCTAGCAGCGGCAGAGGCGCGGGGAGACGAGGTGGTGCCATGCGTAAAAAGTTGGATTTAGAATGGCACGGTGAACGGCTCCGAACAGTGGGGAAGCGGCCAGAGAGGGTTAGAGGTGCTTATAGAGATAGAGGTGGTTAAAAGTTGCTATATTAGATCCAGGAAAACGCGGAGGACTAGTCTGAAAATGTTTTTTTTTCCCCTTCTTTTTTATATATATTTATATATATATAGATGGAGGAGTAGTTCACGCTGCTAAATGTTTCCAAACTAAACATAGAAACTAAACATTTTGTTGCTGTTTTTTCCTGATCAATCACTAAATCACTAACTCTGTTATTGCAGTAACTCTGCAATAACTACACCTAAACCTTAATAAAGCATGAATAAACACTCAAGCTTAACATGAACAAAATATTAAACATGATTCAGTCTTTATAAACACTCTAACTCTAAACTTACCTTAAAAAACGATTTGTTCATTATGAATTAAGACTTTATTAAGGCTAATTACAGTGTAGTTACTCTAATAAAAAGTATACCACTAATTATTTTCCTTCAAACTCATTGTGGCAACTTAAAAACTTGTATCCATAAGTCACACTTCTCTAAACTTTACGCAACTGAGTGAATTTAAATGCCAGTGTACACTTGGAACCACTTAAAAATACACTTCAGTGAATAAAGTTGTAAACATTTCACTTTTTCATTTTGTAAACTTGACTAAAACGTACAAATTGTTCTCCTCAAGTTGGTCCACGGCTTTAGACGAGACACGACAACAGGGCGACTTCATCTGTTGTCTTTAAGTTAGATATTAGCCTGTATCAATCCTCAAAAAGCAATTGTTCCAAAAGTTGACATCAATTCTTTCAACAGCTCCCTGGGTATTGAAAACGCCTTGCTCAAAGTGAATGCCCTGACATGACTTGTGTAAACTCCATCGGCGATCAGTGAATGGAGTTTAGATGTTAAAACTATTTAGGTTCAGAATGAGGAGACGCTAATCCAGAAGATGGCTCCCCTCTCCCTCTTTCCCCCTCTCCTCTCTCCTCTCCCCTTTTTGTCCGCTCAAGTTGAATGCCAACACACACTCACGCAAGAAAGACACAAGTTGTTAGTGGGAAAAGACGGAAGGGGGGGTCGGGGGGGTTGCGGGTTCGAATCTCGACGCAAACAAGCGCGTTTTGTTTTGGGGATCTGTCGCTACGTCGGACCGTACAAAGACGACTGTGCCACCAGTGTCCTTCTTTTTTTGCTTAGTTGTTTTTCATGAAGTAGTAGTAGTAGTAGTAGTAGTAGTAGTAGTAGTAGTAGTAGTAGTAGCTCGAGGCAATGCATACGACCCAGCAGGGGGGATATGCAGGTACTACAGTATTTTAACATAATGCGAATAGCTGAGTGCATGCATGTTAATGGGAGTGGAAGGCTTAATACGGATCCCTGCTTCATTTACAATAGTTTGCATTGAGCTCAAGGAAGTTAAAATGTAAAGACACAACAACTTATCTTAAGCTTAGAGGGATTTGAAACAATGCACTTCCTAAATGAGTTCAAGATTTAGCTTAAGGTACTTTTCACACCGATATTTACTGCCGTTTAAAAGCACGGAAACGTGTCGAGTCGATCTAAAGTTGGCGTTTTTATTGGTAGTACTTCGAATTCATATAGGCTACGCTGTTTGTCATTATAATCGCACGTGCTGCTTGCTCGAAACGCGAAAAACATCGGCAAAACTTTGTAACTCAATTCACAATGAGCGAATGGTTTACGGGGAATGAGTCAGGCTTAGTCACTGCTTCATTAAACGGTTAGAAATTAGGGTTAGGATCGTTTAAGCAAACCTAAATCCGTCTCAAAAAGCAGTTTGTGTGAGTTCTGTGTTCGTTCGTGCTTTATTAATGTTAATTAAAGCGGAGTTAAAGCAAAAAGACAGAAGATTTGGTTGGTTTGTTGAGATTTGAGAACTTTGCACAGAGATTTGATTTCAGATGTTGCTCTAAAGTTAACAAAATGCTGGTTTGTGACTTCAGTGAGTTCAAAATCAGGTGAAATTGTGTTGAAATTCTAAAATTCTCAGCAAAATTTCTGCTTTACTTTGGAATTTTAACCACATGGAGCTGAATCTTCCATCTCCACAGCCCCATAGCACAAACATCTAAAGCTATTTTCTATCATTTTCCCACTAGAATTTCTCCCAAACTCTCCGTATATATATTTGGACTCGTATCGTGCACCTGCTTGACGTCACAAATGAGCTTTTATTGTTACTATAGTCTCGTTTCACTGTGATTCTGAAGGGGTTCTTGCTGTGTGACGCTACTGCCGCCTACTGGACGCTGCGGGAACAACAAGGCCACTCTCCCAGCTCAGAAAGAGATGATCTAAGAGGCAGGATTCAGAGGATTTTTCAACATGATGGTGTAAGAAATCAAAACACAACGTGATCTTATATTTTTTAACAGAAATTTAGTTTTGTTTAAGGCGACGCAGTTAAATTTGAACTCCAAGTAACTGTCTTAAATGTGGGTCAAATCCATCAAGTTTTCTAAAGCTTAGACGGTATTTTCAAAGGTGATAATGTCAACTTACTGAATTATAATTCTATCTACAGGTTGAGTATTTAAAAATATGAACAAATTTTTACTTTCCTTTTAAGAAAAATAGGCTGACTTCAAGTGACAGTGTAAAGTGAGACAGAAAAAGGTTACACTCTGAAAAACACCAAATTATAGCTGTTGTGTTATAAATTCTGAATGTTTGGCTTTTTAATTTATGTTTAGAATTTAATCTCTTACTTTTAGGTTGCGTTTTGGTGTGTTTTTCTGATAGACACACACACATTTTTTGCAGATAATACTGTACATTTCAAAATAAAATCAGGTTTCTGAAATAGTACACAAAAAAGCATTTAAAATTTCCCATTGACCAAAATGCCACATATCTAATTTTTATATTCATATTTTTTAATAATATGCATATATTAGGGTTATTTTCAATAGTTTTTAACAATATGAATATAGAAATGTACTGGCTATTCCACTTTTCTAGTTACAAGTTACATTTTGTAGATTTTCCAGATTTTCCATTGTAATTTTATGGGAATTCTCAACACATCTCATTTCCATATCAATACTTTTTTAATCATATGCATATAGTAGGGTTAGTTTTAATCATTTTTTAACAATATGAATATAGAAAAGTACTGGCTATTCCACTTTTCTAGTTACAAGTTACATTTTGAAGATTTGCCATTATAATTTTATGAGAATTCGCAACACATCTCATTTCCATATTAATATTTTTGTAATCATATGCATATATTAAGGTTATTTTTTATCATTTTTAACAGTATGAATATAGAAATGTACTGGCTATTACACTTTTATAAGTTACATTTTGTAGATTTGCCAGATTTGCCATTATAATTTTACGAGAATTCAAAGTTTCTCAAGCACTATTATTCCTACTTATTTTCGATTTAATTTCCCCCATCTGTAAATGCTCGCCTCATGAATACAGGGCCCTACAAACACCTGACATAATCTCACCCGGGCTAATTCCTAATTGAAACCGAACAGATCCCCGTGTATTATTTTGTTTTTAGTCTTTCTATAATGGCAGGAGAGTACCTAAACCCCCCCGACTGCCCAACCAACCAACCGACCGACCAACCAGCCCGCAAATACCCCCTACTCATTCCACGCTTTTATTGTGCCCCTCCACCTCTCCTTTCTCCACCTCTCCCCCCTTATATAAGATTCATCTGGCGGCTAATAGGGCGACACATGCAGCTCGGGGCTCCCATTCGAATGCATGGGCTCCATATCTGCATGAGAGAGAAAGAGAAGGAGAAGGAGGGAGAAAGAGAGAGAGAGTGAGTGCTTCCCTGCGCTAATCTGCTTAGTATAATAAAGGGACGACCAGCGGGGGCCCCGGTTTGAGGAGGGGGGCCCCCGCATCCACAACGGGCCCCGAATAAAAACCACCTCTGAAAATAAAAACAGGGAGAGTAACAGAGCATACAGAGGCATACAAGCAGGTATACGGATAAGGCTGTAGCGGGGATTATAATGGGCGAGTGATAGCCGTAAATTAAGTAGAGATGAAATTGGAAGGGTTTCTTTTTTCTTTTGCTTTTTTTTTTTTTTTTTGCGTGCACGTTCGAAGAGAAGCCGAGGAGAGGTTAGGGCCAAACATGCGATTCTAGAATAAACATTTCACACATTTTGATTGTCGTAAAGGATATAAAGGACGGAACGTTAAACGCGCGTGAAAATGCGTTGAAATTCTATGGGAAAGACCAAAAGTGGAGCTATAAGCGAGCACAAAACCTTCACATGTTTTGGAGAATTTGAATAACGATAAAGGCAACAATGACAATGTAAAAATGCAAAAACAAAATGTTCATGTGATTTAAGGATAGATTGTATAACAGGTCAAACAAGATACATACAAGAATTCTGAATAGAAAACAAATATTCTAAGTAATGAGACAAATTAAAACTATTGTCACAAAAGACAGACATTTAAAATTCTGCAGAAACCAATTGTTTTTATGGTTAAAATGTCAATTCTAACATCATTTTGTCACATTTGAACCGCACTAAAACTGTATTTTATATAACAAAAACTGTGTACTGCTAAATATTCTTAATGCACATTATAATTGGAGAAGGTTCGTAATTGATTCTTGGGTGTTTTGAGATAATTAGCGCCCGGGCCGTTGTAGTGGCCGTCTCCGTGGCGACCTAATGACAATATAGATAAGAGGGA